TATTCGTCAGTGCTGTTTCAAGTTTTTATACCTCTTTAAATTAAAATAAAGTCCTGCAAAAAATAAYGAAATCTGCCCAAAAGTAGGTTTTAGAGCACACTGACCAATAAAAACAAAAAACTGACATTCCCTTAATTTAGTTTAAAAAATGTCTCAACAGAAGTTTTCACACTAACAAGCAATTTAAACACACGTTTTCATGCTGTTTTATATCCTGACAAATTTAAGTAATTTTAGCTGTCATCCAGAGAGAATTTTCTGTATTTTGGAGGAAGTAAGTACTCTGATCTTTTAAGTAGTTWGTTACTAATTGCCTGGATGATGTTGAGTAGTTGGCATTCAAAAAGCTCTACTAAATAAATAAAAAATAAAGAAAAGAAAAGAAAAATTAAATTAAATTAAATTCTCCAAAAGAAGGAAGGTATATAAAAAAGCCACTTTGAGCCTAACAACAATTTAGATTTTGACGATTTAGGGTCTGAGTTGTTTTTTATGCATATCCATCCATCCATCCATCCATCCATCCATCCATCCATCCATCAGGAAAAAAAACATTCCAGCTCACTGAATATTTTCCCTCATAAAACTCCTCCAATTCAGCGATTAATGATGCAGGGTAAGAAATTAAAAAGCAACAGAGATTAAGAGGCAGCGTTTTGAATAAGCTCATTTAATTATTGAAACAATACAGAGTAAATCTGTGTGCGTGTGAAAGAGAGTAAAACACTGTGTGGGGTTACAAACTAGATTATGGATAAAATTCTTGGTGAAATGTTTGTGTTTGTTTAGGAAATAATGATACAAAAGGAATAATTCTGGAATTAACTGAGAGAAAAAGGAATAATTCTGGAATTAACTGAGAGAAAGAAACAAGTGAAAGCGGTTTGGATAAAAAAAAGTTAGAATTTCAAATGGGAGAGTAGAAGTCGTATGAGGTATCCGCTGGTGCTTTCTGTGAAACAATGACCCACAGTTCTACCGGAGGCCTGCTAACACTCTGTTGTATGTCCTCATGGTGGCCGTTGGCCACGTAGTGTGTGTGTGTGTGTTTGTGCGTGTTTTACATTTGCAAGACAATGACAGCTTGTTTGCCGGGAGTGCAGATCGAGGGATAAACAGAAGCAGAGAGGACAGAAAGACGGATGAGTTTTCTGTGGGGTCACGAGTTTTGGGATGCAGAGAGCGTGTTTTATGGGTGCTAGTTAGAGGTATGTCAAACTGTGTTGGAAAGAGAGTGTAATTTAGTTTTATTTTATTTGTGGTGCGGCTCGTTTCACAGACATCTGATCAAATTGGACTAAAAAGATTTTGCTGTAGTAGCAGTAGACATGCAGTGTGTTCATTCAGATTTATTTTGTTTTAACTTTGAAAACTTTGGTATAKATTTGACATGATTTCCATAATTACCAGACTCTTTCTTTTGGCTGCTTTCTTTAGGGATCACCACAGTGGCTCAGCTGCCTTCATCCATCTTACTCCATTACTAACACCCTCCTCTATCACCCCCTGCATTTACTCTTTCACTGCATTTATTAACCTTTTTTGTGGCATTCCTCTTTTCCATCTTCCTGGCAGCTCCATATTCAACATGTTTTGTTGTTTTGTTTAACCTGAGCTGCCCTGCTRATATACTTTACTCATTCTGTCCATTTAGTTTATTCTCCATAAAAATCTTAGCATATTCATCTCTGCCACTTCCACCCTGCCTTTTGTCACAGTCTCCAAACAATGCAACATWTAAGTATCATTACCTATAAGCTCTTTCAGCTCCCTTTCTGTCACAAATCACCCAACACTTGTTTTCAATCCACTCCAYCTTGCCTGCATTCTTTTCTTTACTGCTCGTACCCCACAGATACTTCAACTTGTCCACATTCAGTGCCTCTACAATCAAATTCACTGTTCCATTTATCTCAGTCTCATTCACACATCCTGTTCTGCTTATATGACCTTTTATTCCTCTTCTCTTCAGAACAAACCTTCACCTCTCCAGACTCTCTTCCACCTGCTCTCTACCCTCACTACAAGGCACAATGTTGTCTGCAGACATTGAAAGCCATTGGGACCAACT